CTGTGATGAAAAATCAACTGTTAACCCAATTGGTTTACTCCTGAATGTAATCTGCCTCCTTTCTCTTGTAGCTTTTAATATTCTCTCTTTGTTCTGTATATGGGATATCTTCATAACAATGTGTCTTGGACTGTGGTTTTGGGTGCTCGGCGTCCTGTATGCTTCTAGGATTTGTACATCTGTTTCATTTTTCATGTCTGGAAAGTTTTCTAAAATTATTTCATTCAACAGATTGCTCATTCCTTTGGTTTGGACCTCTATATCTTCCTATATCCCAATGACTCTTAAGTTTGTTTTTTTATGTTATCCCATATGTCTTAGATGTTTTACTTGTGGTTTCTTACCAGCCTTTCTAAGTTGATTAGACTCTTTTTGAGATGATATATTTTGTCTTTATTGTCTGACGTTCTGACTTCTACTTGATCTACTCTACTAGTGATACTCTCATTTGAGTTTTTAATTTGGTTTATAGTTTCCTTCATTTCTAGGATTATTATTTGATTTTTTTATAATCTCTAGCTCCTGGAAGAATTGATTTTTTGCTTCTTGAATCTGTTTATGTAATTCATTTTCAGTGTGTTCTTTCATTGTTTGCATTTGCTGTCTAATGACCTCTTTGAGATTCCATTCCATCTGAGTCAGGTATTCCTTGAGTTCTTTATCTTACCATTTTTCTGATTCCTCTTGGTTCTCCTGTAGATTTAGGCTGTCCTGCATTGACTCCTTTTCGTCCTTGTTTTTTCATGATGCTCATGTTATTTCCAGCTCTGTTTGACTGCTGTGTTACTGTTTACTCCTATAAATTTATTTTGGTTTTGTATATCTCCGGGATCTCTCCTTTGTGATAGGAGACTATGTCTAGAGATGTTGAGTTTTATTGTACTTTAAAGCAGATTCATTTGTTTCATAAAATACGTACGGATTCTGATGGCGCATAGCAATCTGCGGTTTGGTCTTGGGACTTTATGTTTAGGTCGGGTGATGTGATGGTATAGGGGTTGGTATATCTTGGCAACCTTGGTAGATTGCTCTACTGACGGGAGATATTAACAGGAGAATGGACCAGAGTATTTGGGGGTAGCTAGGGACTTGGGAGCACTATAGATTGCCTCGGAACATTTACCTATATACATTTAGTAAATTACACATAAATGGAGTCGTAAAGCATGGGAGGAAAGGTATGAGAAGGGGAAGGAAGAAGTCGTTAAAGAGAATGAGAGAAAGTAGAAAATATGTAGAATACAATAAAAGGGGGGAAAAGAAAATTGAAAAGAAATGAAAAAAAAAAAAGATAAATTCAGTCTTAAAGTTTGATTAAGTTCTCTTCCAGTATGTGGAGCTGTGCCAGGAAACAATCTCTGTGAGGCAGCTCTTCCTCCCCCACTGGGCAGCTCTCCATCCTGATTGTGCAGAGCCATTCCTGGTCTCCAGCCACCTTCCTACTTCTCCTGCCAACCAGGCCCCAGTCACTGGTGGTGTTCTCCACAGAACTAGTTACATGCCGGGCCTGCAGCCCCCTGGGTGCCCTGTTCTCTTGAACGACTGGGCACTCTCTCTATTTGCCATTCACCCAGACCCCAAGGTTGTGGAGCGTGGGGCTGGAGCCCGTCAGCTTATTTTGCCAGGTTCCCTCTGGTAGCCACGCCCCCAGGAGCTGGGGAAAGAGGCCTTGGTTGTCAGCGCTGGTAAGAGAGGTAGCCAGGGGTCAGGCGCCCCTCCTGTCTCCCTCGGGTACGACAGTCACGATCACGGAGAGCTGGGGAGGGGCCCTTGGGATTTCCTGCTGTGTGGAGAAGGAGGGCTGAGGGTCACACACCTGCAGTTGCCGCTTTCATTGCAGAGCGATCCCGTCCACTGAACTCTGGCGACATCAGTTCTCTCTGCCAGGGTGTCCGATGGGAAGGGTGGATCTGGGCCTTCTCTCCCAGGTCCCACCTCAGCTCTCGGCTGCTGGCCTATGGAGGCTCGGTTGGCATGACCTCAAAAGGTTCACAAAGGAACTGAAGAGTTGTTTCTCTACTCCGCTGGAGCGGCTCTGTAGCACTGAGTCATGGAGGTTTGGTGGCAGGGCACAAACAATCATCTAGAAACTCTGTACACGGGGCAGCCTGAATTCACCCAAGCTGAGCTGGACATGGCCTCTGAGAGGCTCAAACTGCTCGCCCAAGATCC